CTCCAATAAAATGATCTAAATAAAGAAAAAAAACAATAAAACCAAAAAAAAAAAAAAAGAGAGATCATTTATTGGGGGCTCTTACAACTCTTATAAGAATCCATATAACAATTGTATCAAGCATATTTGTACATATGTTGCCATCATTCTTTTCCTAATATTTATTTTTTACTGAGCCCTTGGTACCAGCTCCTCTTTTTACTCCCTCCTCCCATCCCCCACCTTCATGAATGATGTCTAAATTTTAATGAGCACATACTCTTTGGGTAAGTTACTTCTAATACTGAGCATTTTGTTTTGGATCTTCAGGGCAATAGTAGGGGTGCACTTACAACCAGTCAACAGATGCAGAGACCCTGATGTGTTAGGGAGGCCGAGTGTCTCCTCCAAGGTTCCACACTCAGAAAGCGGCTGGGTCGGGGTTCAAATCTAGGCTTGTTAGACTCCTGGTCCATGTTCTGTACAAAACATCTTGCCTATTCTTCAAAGACTTCGGGAATTCTATGAAACCCTGAAAGATAGAGATGGATGCCCTTGGAAAGAGAAGGGATCCCAGATGGAAGGATTACCAGGCCGCCCAGAGGCATTGAGCTCTGGGTTCACTCAGGGCTGTTAAATCGTTCAGTGATTGCAGGAGGTGGAGGGAAAGCCAAGCCCAAACCTCACAAAGTAGCTAAAGTGACCAATAGCAACTCCATTTGATGTTTAGCAGGCAATTTGCCTTTGAAGCAGGTATTCTAACCACGCTGATAATTGACTGCATTGCTAATAAATTATAAAACACAAATACATTCAAACAATTTCAAAGAGATTAACTGCTTGGCATTTACTTGACACTTCCATGCTAATTGTTTAATTTCTTTACATTGTTTCTCCCCTTTGGGGCTTGCTTTGGAGCCAAGCTTCAGCCTCAAATGAGTAATAAACTAATGACAGCATTAATAATGGCCAGGATAATAGTCATATGGCTAATGGTGAGAATGTAAATTAAAAGAGTGCTAGAAGCAACAAACTCTCCTTACTATCTTTGGGGATTCACCCCTGTAAGACAAGTAGAAAGTGTCTAACACAGATGAATGCCAGCCGACTGTAAATGGCACCAAGGCAAACAGAAATGAATTTTTGTACTAATTACATTTCTAGGAGCTTTTAAAAATTACAATATCATGGGCCTACACAATCTAAGATGAGACAATTGACCAGAGGATGCTGGACAGAATCCAATCACCACTCAGAGAAATGGCTGTCCAGGAGCTTCATCCTTCCTGGGCTTGACAGCTGAATTCCTGATGGAGAGTAAGATGTCCCACAGAAGCTATTAACCCAATAGGCAATCTGGAGAAATCAATTTTCATGAATGAGATGATATAAGTAAGACAAGTGGGCACAGAAAACAGTAACAGTGCTCCAGAGTATGTTCTGTGTGCTACTGGCTAGCTGACGGAAAGACAGAAGGGGGGTGGGCGGGGCAAAATGTTATGAGAAGGACACCATGTCTTTTTTTATCCTTAAAATCAGCCTCTAGTTGGACACTTCCAATTGAGGGAATTGATTAGGACTACCAGAGTTCTAAAAACAAGCCCGAGTACTACAGGCAATTAATGTGACTGGCTGCTCACCCAAAGGCTGGAAGTTCAGGTTTCCCCAGAATCATCTTGCAAAAAAGGCCGGGTGATTTCTGAAAAATTCCCCATTGACAAGCCCACGGAGCACAGTTCTTCTCTGATACACAGGAGGTTTGCAGGACTTTCCAGTTGGCTTGATGGCAACCGGCTTTGGTTTAAAATAGTAATTCACTGGGCTTCTAGAAGTGACTTTTTTGAGAGGATATTACAGCCCTGAATGTTCCGGTAGAGGGAACCTCTGACCACATTGCCTCTGAGGAAAGCAGAACACAGAGCTAGGAAGGCATCCACAGGCCTTCAAGGGCTGCTGAACATTCTTAGGCCTATAGCTGCTCCCTGTCAGCTTCTACTTTGCTTGGTGATTTTTGGTCAACTTCCCGTGATTTTCCAAACAGACCTCAGTGGTTATGAACGACACAGGCACAGGACGCCCCCTGACGCCCCCGACAGCACAACAGTCTCCACAGGTGAAGTTCAGGCAGCTGAAGTCCTTTAAAACCCTAGGCAGCAAGCTAAGGTAACCAAGCAAATAAAATGCCCGACTACTACCTACATACATATGTATGTGTGCGTATACATAAAGCTGTTTCTGACTGTGATAATTTCAAATTGTTTTCAGAAAAAACAAACAAAAAACACGTCTTACAGTCTCTCTTCTTGATTCTTTCTCTCTTTGTACTCTATGTCCATGGAGGCAAAACCACCCCTAAAAATCAGTCTCAGCTCATTTCAGTTCAAGTCAGTAACATGTCAAAAGGATGCTGAGTGTGATACCTTCAAATACCTGAGCTGCATCTTACAGGCTGGTTAATTATTTATGAGCACTCGAGTTCTCTCTCAGTCCTGTCAACCTAGAGGCTAAACGGCAATGACTTGAGAGTTTTAGTTTCCGTTTAGTAGTTTTCTGCATGCATGATTGGGCCCTGATGCTGTGTTATAGCAGAATCATTCACGTCATAAGTCTGCCATTCCCCCTCCCCAGGTGCCACAAGCTCCTGTCACAAATGAGCCATTAATCTTACCTGTCCAGCGAAGAGTCCGCAGACACCAATGATACAGAGGATATTGAACACGGCTGAGCCCACGATGGTCCCAACACCCACGTCCCCCTTTGTGATGAAGACTCCTGAAACAAAAACCCAGGTCAGCTGCTGTACCAGGTGGACGTGGGGCCTTGTCTAAAGGATCTGGCTGGTCTACGTTAGGAATCATCAGGTTTTAAAAAACTGCTTTGCTGAATTATAAGTTATCATATAATTCAATAGTTTAATCATATTTAAAAAGCTGTGCAATTCTCACCACGATGAACTTTAGAATATTTTGTTGTTTCTGGTACTCATTATTGTTGACTTTCCATTTCCATCAACCTCCCCTTCCACGCCCTTAGGGAACTATCAATCTAGTTAGTCTTTATAGATTTACCTATCCTGTATCGCCTATACAGAAAAACATACAAAGACAAAAACAAAAAAAGGACCAAATAACAATGACCAAATAAAATAAAACAAAACAAACAGGAATAAAATATAAAGCAGAAAACATGAAAAATGAATCAATTAAACAGGGACCAAAGGGGGGATCAAATTATAAGGTGTTAAAATTTAGTTTTTAATTACAGCTGCCAAAATCCACTTTACAATGCTGTTTATCCGATTATTAATGTTATTTACATCCGTGGAAAATGGTCAGACAGGATTCACCAGAGACTCAATTCAAATAGGAACTCTGACAATGGACTTTGGGCCTCCTTCTATTACCATCTATAGCCTTCCATGATTGGTAGTTAGAATTTAAGCTCTAAGACCGTTCCCTCCTCCTGGTTTAGATTTTATTATTTACAGACTTTGGATCACACCAGCTGGTGTACTTCTTTTGTATGGATTTAGCTCACTCCTCACTTAGACGGCTACTATTTTATGACACGTCTTTATGACCCCAGGCATTATTCTTTCTGATAGCCGGGCACCATCTGATTTCTTCACCACATTTTGCTATAATACCCATATTGTCATGGTTATTCATGATCTATTCATGAGGCCAAGATTGAATAAGGTCATGTCATAGAACAAATATTATTAGGGCTACAATTAAATACGAGCTCAAAATTCATTCATATATCTATGGTTTATATATGTCCCTGGTTTACATTAGCGATATCAGTATCATTTTATCAGAATAATTATGAATCATCTCCATGGGATACAAGTTAGTTTTATTAATTTAGTCAGTGGTATAGAACAGGGATCTCCAGCCCGGTGCAATTCTTTTGGCATGTACATGTAACTCTGAAGTAAAATTGAAAATAATGTAAGGGCACTATTCAAATAATGGTGATTTCATTTGTTTGTAAAAATACATTGACGGCTCTCAAAAAAGCTAATTGTTATGAGGAACAGCAGTGGCTCTTCTGTATCAAAAGTTTGTCTGACCTTGGCATAGAATATAAAACACTGTTGCAAAAAGGAAATCACACATATATCGGATATCTTTTGAGGCCACAATACATGAATGGCTGACTTGTGCAGATTCAAATTTAAGCGACTGTACACTTTTTACACCAACCATGAGGGCTGGACAGATAACAATACTTTGATTAACACTCATTTACAAAGGCAGAGTCATGCCTGCTGGACTAACACATGGCACAAAAAAAGCAGAGAGAGCATGAAAATGTATGTTAGTCCTGGGTCACTGTGTTAGTCCGGGTAGACTAGAGAAACAAATTCATAGACACATGTATGTGTATAAGAAAGAGCTTTATATACAAGAGCAATTGAATATTGAGACAACATCCCAGCCCAGTCCAGATCAAGTCCATAATTCCGATTTTAGCCCATATGTCTGATACCCATCTATAAATTTCTGTTCAGACTCACGAAACACATGCAATGATGCTGAATGCAGGAAGATCACAGGCCAGTGGGTGGGAAGGCTTGTGGATTCAGTGGTGTTTTTAGCATCTCAGTGCTGGCAGGGGTCTCCACAGGGTTTCTCCAGCTCTGAGGCTCTGACTGCCATCAGCCCCTCTCCATGTGTCTTCTCAACAGGATGTCTCGCAGGGAGTCAGCAGAGAGAGAGTGTGTCTCCCGCCTCCAAGGAGGAAAATACAGGAGTTCCCAGAATCCTCAGGAGAAGGCCATGCCGACACAGAGGCCTCATTGGCTATGACCTGATTGACAGGTAAACTCCACCCCTTCAGTCGTAATCCTTTCAAATTAACAACAGATTATATAACTACACAGTCACTTTTCATGGGGCACCCTCAAAGCAAGAGATGCGAACTGAACCAAAGTCCCATGACCCCAAATTCCCTAACCTTGGGATACTGGTCACTTGCTTCTTCTCCCATAAGGGGGTTTCAGATTTAAGATCAAAGGGAATAAATACTCCAGTTCCTCAAATCTGCTATAAGCGAGTTTAAAGTCAAGTCTAGTTCACTTCGCGATATTTCCAATTCAGGTCTTTCGGGTATAGCCTATGAAGGGTGTTGGGCACTTGAAGAGGACACAGTTCAAATTCCTAGTTGCATGCTGCCTGGCTTGCCCAGGGCTGAATAGAAACTAGGTCCAAAGTTACCAATTAGAAACATAATCCCAGGCATAATATTCTCCTCTTGGGGTTATATGTGTAATGTGAAGTGTTTTTCTCAATGGTGGGTTGCCCCACCTAGTTTACTCATCATCGGAAATGGTATTGCCTTTTCCGACAAACGTGTCTCCTGCTCTTGATCTCAGTTCCCAGCCACATGCACTAATTACTCTGGGAGGAGTGTCTGTTGATTTGGTGACCACAGAACATTGCTGTATGTCAGAAACTGATCGGTCTTCTTCCTTCCCCACATGAGAAATTGACCTGCTCTGGAGTGAAGCCATCTCTAAGTGGTTTTTTAAGATCTTCAAATAATGGGATAAATAAATGGTTCATGGGAACTAGGCAGTCACACTACCTAGTTGCGTGGGGGACAAGACTAGGTTACATGACCTTAAAAGTGTTTCTGTCTTGATTTTTATCCTTCTAGTAGTGGATACATACATGGTTTCCAAATCCATCCATGTCAGCAGTGTTTTGTGGTTTCATCACTGTGGTTTAGGGATGCAAAGTAGTTTATTGTGGGTGTGTAGGAGTTTCTTGATCCAGTCTTCTACTGGTGGGCATCTGAGCTGTTTCCAGCTTCTTGTTAGCGTGAAATATGCTGCATTGACTTCTTTACCTTATATGCACAGCTGCATTTACTTCTTTGGCTTATATTGTGGGTCATGGTGTTGGTAGTGCCAGGTGTTTAGGAAGTTCCATATAGTTTTCAACAATGATGATACATGTTTACAGTCCCACCAGCAGTGTCTAAGGGTTCCAATTTCTCCATATCTTCTACATCTGTTGCTCTGCTTTTTGTGAATTGGACTATCATTGGAGGTTTAAGATGATATCTCATCATGTCTTGATTTGCATTTCCTTGATTTACAGTTACTCATGGGCTTGTTAGCCATTTGAGTGTCATCCCTGGTGAATTCTCTGTTCATGTCCTTTCCCCACCTTTTAATGAGATTATAAGTTTTTTCTTATTGAAGTGTTGCAGAATTCTAGAAATTTTAGTGATTAGTCCTTTCTTTGTCCATTGTGTCATTGCTAAGGATTCCCCACCACCCCACCCCCGCAATTCATGGGCTTTCATTTTACTCTTTTGATGTGTTTAAGTTTCTTATTTTTAGTAAGTCCATGTATACTGTCTTCCACTGAGTGGGTTTCCTTTATTTTATTTGGTAATCTGTGTATGCCCTGAAATAGGACTTTAAATTCGTCCCACTTTTCTCAATTAAAAAGATCCTTCCAATCTGGAGTTCATTTAGGTCTCTAATCCACCTTGAGGTAGTTTTTGTGGATGGGGCACAGTATGGCTCCTGTTTCATTCTTCTGCAGACGTGGATCCAATTTTCCAACACCATTTGTTTAAGAGAGTGTCCTTTTACCAGTTAATATTTTTGGTCCTTTTTCAAACATCAGTTTCCTGTGGTGGGAGGTTAGTTTTGGATTTTATCTATCCTGGTACCAATACCACGTTGTTTGGGCTACTATGGCTCTGAGATAGGTTTTAAGATTGGGTAGTGCAAGCTCTTCTCCTTTGTTCTTATTCTGGAGGAGTTCTTTGCTTATCCTGAATCTCTTCCCTCTCCATGTGAAGCTGATAATTAACTTTTCGATTAAAAAATGAATATGAGATTTGGATCAGAATTGCACTGTATTCATATATTGCTTTACATGGTATTGACATTTTCACAATATTGAAGCCTTCCAACCATGGACATGGAATACCCTATTTGTGTAGGTATCCTTTGGTTTCGTATAATAGTGTTCTGTAATTTTCTTCATACAGGTTTTTTTTTTTCCTTGGGTTAGGTTTATTACTAGGAATTTCATTGTTGGTGTGGCTCTTATAAATGGCATTGTTTTCCTGATGTCTTTTCTCGGAGCTCTCTTCGTTGGCATACAAGAATCCTGTTGACATCTGTTTGTTAATCTTGTGTCCTGCTACCATACCTGATGCCTCAATTGTTTCCAACAATCTTTGGCTGGAGTCCTCGGGGTTCTCGCTATATAAAAATCACATCAACTGCAAAATCATGTCATAGCAAGAGTTTCACTTCTTTGTACAATTTTATTCCCTTAATTTCTTTCTGTTGGGTAATGGTTCCAGCTAAGACTTCCAG